ATATATATTAATTCGACCACTATTATATTTATTATTGAACTACCACAATTCCTTCTTAGTAGTGATTCCGGTTGCTATGGCAGTTGCCCTGTATGCGAAAGGTCCAGAGTTCGAGTCCGGTTGGAGGCTGAGTTTTTTTTTTTTTTCTTTCATTTTCAGATTCGTCTTCTGATGTTTCAATTTATATTATTCATTGCATTTTCCAACTTGCTGTTTCTGGGTTGTTCCAAGCCTTAAAATCACATTATATACAAGTATCTCATTCAAGATCAAGCAGGCTGAAAAGAATGCACAGAAGAGGGCGTCTAGTCATGTGCGATATTAGTGCTGTAACTGCTCTTGGGCTCGGAGCCAGTTTGGGGTGTAGAGGGCGTCTTTGGTCATTCACACAAACTCGAACAAGGTAACAATGCGACCATCAGTTAAGCAATCTCAACCTTTATTTGTTTCAACTGTGTCTGTTTGACTACCAACTCGGTTGTCCGATCTATTGTTCGGTCCGATCTATTGTTCGGTGACTAAATACAAAAGTACAAATACGAATAATTAATATAAAAAATATAGATAAAAAATAGATAAATAAAATAAGTAAACAAGTAGAAAATGAATCATCGATAGTATCATAAAAATCATGAAGATACACTCATGTAAATACATTATTGCAATACTGCAAGTAAACAACTGATCATTTAAACTCTTCACAGTAAATTACAAAATGTATTATTAAAACTGTTCAATAATGAGAAAACTGACAATGTATAATATTAATACAGTACAATAAACTGTCTCATCTTAATAATCGATTAAATACAGTATATTAAATAACCTTACGTGAATATGACCGCCTTTAGCCTCAAAAACTCATGTTAATCTTCTTAGTTAACATTATCCGTTCTGTAACATAATTAATGTTAAATGTATATAATATGTCATTTACTTTAAACATAACAATATAAAATACATAGGATCATGTACTAAAGTCTTAATTGTGATTACTGAATCATACAAAACATTGTCACAGATTACTTCAATCATTAATTAATACAATCTGTTGTCCGAAAACAAAGAAAGCTCTGGAGAACAAAGAAATCTCCAAAGGAAGTGGCTTCAGATAACAGTAAGCCATAAACCGAGTTGGCCAATCGGCATGTAGCATATTACACACGTGATACATAAATATTCATAGTAAAAGATTCGCTTAGCGTCCCCACGCTAGCGGCAAACTCGAAGACAGTAAATAATTCGTGATAATTATAATACTTATACTATAATTAAAAATTATACTATACTCTCAATTTACTAACCATATACTGTACATATAGGCAAAAGAGGGTAAATTATCATGTGTAGTCTATGAATGATCACAAATATTAGCAAATACATATGGATACTAAATTACAAGCTCTTACATGAATACAACATTATACGTCTAGCTTTGTACTTCATTAAAGACATAAATCAATGCATGTTTACTAAATCAATAATTAACTATTAAGTACAAAATATTATTAAATAATCTTAATCTACTTATTATAATCGTTAACTCACCAGTCATTGACTGCTACTGAAAGCCATGTAAAAAAGGTAAAGCATTTACGCTCGCACGTTGGTAACTTTACCAGCAAAGTTTCATGCGTCTTTCTTAAACCGATACATGCTTACGAGTAACGCGAATTTTCAAAGTTCGCTCCGCCTCACAATGCGCACAAAAAATGGACGATGAGGGCGCGCAGCACTGGAGAGATCTAACAAGTGCTATATCAACATCGTGGCGTCAGACACGATAAATAAAAATGTGAAAGAAAAAAAAAAAAAACTGAATTTCTACCTGGCGCTTCAGTGTGTTGGTGGACAAGTGGTTAATATGTTCGACATGCAAAAGATTCCGGTTTCGAGTCCCAGTTGAGGCTGAGTTCTGATTAAATGAATAAATAAATAAATAAATATTGAAACGTTGTAGGCCTAATTTTCGACCCTGTAATAATCTCTAATGAGCTGTTCATGATTCACATTAATTAAGTTATGTGGCTGATTAACCAAATGTAGAATTTATTTTACATAATATCCAATCGATTACAAATAATGTTTCCTGTTTTTAAAAACTTCTATTTCAAAAAAATAAATAAATAAATAAAATAAAATAAACAGAATTCAAAAAATGGTTGAATCATAGCTTTATTTAGGACTCCCTTTGCTTGGAATTTTGACTCAACACTGATCAGATCTTATTTTTTTCAACTGCTGCAATCAAACCAGATCTGATCAGTTCTTATCCGTTAACACTCTGTTATATTATGTAATATAGTCTGTAACTTCCGTACAGTTTCTTCCAATCATATTGGGTTACGTCGATCGACTAAAGATCTTATCGGATCTGATCAGTTTGCAGTCGTTAGTAGAAAAGATAACAGAGGTGCTTTGAACAAGCCGCAGCTGTTTATACAGCCTGATTGACTTCAAACGGTCAGTCATGCGTCACATAGTCCTATGTGTATATTATGTATATGTATGTATATATGTATAATGTGTGTGTATGTATAATGTGTTTTTGTGCTTTTTCTTATTTTTAATTGATTTTTGTAATTCCTGTTTTAATTTTGATTTCATGTTAACGTTATGATTCTGTACCTTTAGTTTACATTTTCAAAATTGAAGCCTACTGTTAAAACTTTTTGAGTTAAAGGCCAAGTGCGGGTTTGAAATAATTAATGCTTAATATAAAATAGAGGGATGGGGGACCACAAAGAACGTGATGGCACTTGATTTTGGAGCACGGTATTCGAAAACGAGGCTCGTGAACTGGGTCCCAAAAACGAAGTGGTGCTACAGGATTTTGAGCTAGTGTTAAAAGATAGGGAATTTCCTAAAATGGACCGACTTCAAATGCTTGCATTCGGTAACCCCATAACAAAATCGTGTCAGACTTTAGATATTCCAACGTAAATTTGGCCGTTCTTTTCATTTATATGGGTTTTCACTTATGAAAATGTCTCATTTATGTGTAAAATAACAGTTTGCCCCCGTTTTTGTTTCGTGAATTTTGCACTAGACAGGGAGTCAGCTGATTCACTCAACCGTAACGAGATGTTAACACAGCCAACTGATGATGAGAATGGTCGTCGCGAGCGGAAAATTGAAAAATCGGGATTGGCGAAAACATTTAATAATAATAATAATAATATAATAAGTCGATTGCATTTTTGAAGAATGAATCTTTCAAACAAATACGTTTGCCGGTTGGAATATGGAAGTCTTGGAAGTAATGGTCTTAGAAATGGCGTTAAATAGGTTTGTTACCAACTTGTCTTACCTGTGTATAGGCCTAGGCATAGCCTAGCATATATGCAGTACTGTATCATGTATAGAATACGGAATGCTACTCTACTGCCTGGCGCGATGTAGGCCTAGGCCTAGACCCCTAATTTAGTAATAAAAACTATAATTTCAAACATTAGACGAACAACACTATTTTCAATAAAGTACAGTAATTTACATGTTAATATTGATCCATGGAACTATCTATTGGAGCAGCCTAGGCCTGGCTAGTAATTATATAATAGGCCAGGCTGGCCCTATTAAAATGCCAGTTTATTCGTCGTGGAATGTGGATGATGATACCTTAAAAACTAGCTCAAATTTGCGCAGAAAATGGCTAGGATAAAGGTGCACAGAACTTAACTTCTGTATGATACATTGGTTATATATTCAGATTAGTTCCAAACTAATTTTCGACAAATGCTGCTCGGAAATCGGCCTTTATTTTCCGAGGAGGATAAATTGCCTGCACACACTCTGAGTTACAACCACCTGGCCTAGGCGTGACCCTTCTAGTTCTTCCATGCTGGATCAATAACTAGTAGAGGGTCAAATGTCCAACCATTTTGATGGTCAAAATACAGGGGAATTATTATTACTGTACTCTACATTAAAAATGATTGAGAAACAAAATAGCCTATTATACATATGTGCT